CTTAAAGTGGTCTGTTTTTTCTTATATATATATATATATATATATATATATATATATATATATATATATATATATATTATTTATTAATCTATATGGATAATTCCTTTTAGGATATAAAACAAAGAGAGACGCAATGTAAAAACAGAGCAAGAAATGATAATTATTATAAAATTAATGATATTTTAAGAGATTCATATGGATATTCCAAAGAGATTTTACAAAGAACCAATATCGGTTCCAACTCATCAGACTATTATATTCAAATAGAATATATATTTTATTTTATTAGAATGGTATCGGTTAAAGTGTCTGTTTTTCATTAAATATTTATATATATATATATATATATATATATATATATATATATATATATGTGTGTGTGTGTGTGTGTGTGTGTGTGTGTGTGTGTGTGTGTGTGTGTATTATATAGCAGGCCTTTTGTTTAATTCAACCTTCAATTAGAAGATGCGTCCAGTATTCCTTAACGGGGCAGCTTTCTTTCCGTGTGCGCACACATACACACAAACACTACAATTAATCCCATGAATGCTTCAATTTATTTTTTGTGACGTATGTATATGTATAAAAATCCTTCATCTGTTGAATTCATTTCTTTTGAAAATGTTGAATTCATTTTATATATTCAGTTTATAACACTCGTCGGCTACATATTAATGCTTTTCCCGGTGTTCAAGTTTAATGTTTCTATACCGATTTTCGCTTTATCCCATAGAAAATGCAATTACTGTTGACTATTCCTTAGAAGTTAAGTTGATATGTGGAGATTTCTCAAGTAAATATTTCAACGATAAAATTTTCACTGTTTCTGTTGTATGTACTTTTATTGGCCCCGATGTTTTTTCACGCAGGTCCATTTTGTTTTTATTTTTTTCACAAAATAATAATTTTAACCCGTTTGTTTTCCACAAGGAAATAGTATAGAGTAATCTCCCTTGAATTTTGCTTAATCTGATTTTTTACGATTTCAAATGATGAAAAATTTAATTGAAATTGTAAAACAGATCGAAATGAAGAAAAATAAGTTATTATAACTGCTTAATCTTTCTTTAATTCTTATCGTCGGACTGTGGATTGAAAATCTTAAAACTTTCCTTCATCCCCAAAAGGGAAGTGTCGAGAGGGCTTGCGTAATTTTTGCCTTTGCTGACTTCCGCGTTAAATTCGGGCTTGTGCCACATTCTGCTTGAATAGCTTGTGTGAATAAAGTCCATCGTCTATCAAAATCTGTTCATTTTAATATTCAGAGATAAAATAGATTTGACTATTATAAATATTTAATATATATATAATATAATATTGCAATATTCATTCATTTTCACCATTACAACAGCTTTAGTTGATTATGTTAAAACAACATGAAAGATCTTCCTTATTAATAATAATAATAATTTATTATTATAAGAAAGCGTCAGTAAATGACGAGAGAAACTTAAAAATATTTATTATGGTATAAATATGTTGTAGGAACGTAGAGGGACATTATAACCCTTTTCGTAAGACGGCCTAACTAAGGTCACGTGACGGTCGGTGAGTGACGTCAGCTCGGGAGTGACAACAACTCGTGGGATAGCGAACAGCTGTTGCCGTGTAGACCGCGCGGGAGGTAGACATGATAGCCAGCGGCGGTAAGAAGAAAGCATGAAAAACACATAGTCCAAACAAAGAACGAAAAAAGACATTTTTTTTTATATCCAGGGTGACCATTTCTTCCCTGGTAAATATTGCAATAACTCATTTTCGATTTTTGCCCTTTCATACTGCTTGTTTTATTTATTTTCATTTATTTGTTATAGCTTCTCATCCTGGAGAGGGATGAACTCTGCTGGTTAAAATGCCCAAGACAGGCAACATGATGAGCACACCAAGGAACCATTCACAGAGACCCAGGCTCTGGTACACAACCGCGACAGATGGAAGAGAATGGTGGACAGTTCAGCACGTCGGCACCCGGGGCTGAGGACGAAAGAAGAAGATAGTTTCTTTGTGTGGAACAAATAGTGACAAGTTTACACATATTTGTGTATAGTTTTTAATATGACGTGTATATAAAATCTTTTCGAGCAGAATACATATTAGGCATTCGTTTCTTTCAGTTATTCTGGTCCTTCCTTCCGTTGTGTTAAGGTGTTAATATATCACGGATATATAAATGCCTAATATGGACCTTGAAGAGTGAAGTGAACCAAGATGGTTTTTGTTTCTTTCCAAGAACCCCATTAATGTCAACTCAGAATCTCAATATAATTTTACTACGCTCAGTGTATATTTCTTTTATTTTCAGTACTTAGTACTGTTTAATTTTGTTTCTGCTTCCTTTTGAATAAACCGTAAGTGTTCAAATTCTGTAACTTATCTCAATAAAAATCTCTCCTCCTTTCGACAATAGGTAATTTTAAATGCTTATAATTTCTCAGGATGATTGCAGGGTAGTCTGATGGATAACAGTGTAAAGAGCAGGATCAGTTGACTGAGTTCAAGCTCTGATTAAGGCTACTTAGTTTCTAGGAAGTGAAATCTGAGTTACGAGTTCAAACTCCAGCCTAACCTCTGAATTCCAAGCCGAGAAGCCAACGAGACCCCACTTCACTCAAAAATGCATGGCAATTCGCTGATAGTAAAGAAATAGAATCTATGGAGAACCACCATCACCTACGTACAGAAGGAGTATGGTCTTGTAAAATAAAAACTTTGCAATAATTCCCTAGAGAAAAGAATGTATTTACTTCTCCCGGTGTTCTATATTATCGGCCTATATCATGTCACAAACATCCCGTCACCGGCATGCCAAGATGACTGATGGAGGAGAACGTGAATAAATAAGCATTTGAACATGACTATCTATTTATTTATTCATTTAATTTTAGTTCAGCGCGAATGCAGACCCCCACAATACTATAACTCAGCTGCAAACCATTTTTGCAAGTTTTAAAGTTAGCGAATTTTAAGGGTACTTTGATACTTCTAACTACAATTGACCGTTTTGATAACTTAGAAGTCAAATCCTGATTATTATAGCCTTGTCTCAGACTATGTTAACCTTAGTATATATATATATATATATATATATATATATATATATATATATATTATCATATAATGCAGGGGCTCAAACTCAATGATACAAAAGGGCTGAGGGAAAGGCGTAGCAGGATATTACAAATGAGGAGGGCGTCAGCTTCAGACGTGGGGATATTGGTAGAAGCCGATTTTCTCACATTAAAATTAATTTGCATCAGATTCATAGATAAGGGCGTGCAAAAATTTTCGCAGGGGGCAGTTTTTCCTAATATGAGTTGTCAAATGTATTTCTTCGTATAAAATATTAAAAATGAGACCGAGTCTTTGTCGCAGAGTATAATTGTACTCTCTTGTTAAATAGCTGATAAAGAATGTGTGGTGGTGGGGAGGTCGAGTTTTTTTCCTTCCCTGGAGTGGAAGTAGAGCAAACCCTACTCACTATAACATTGATTGACTGCCTGATACTACTTGGTGGGGAGGAATGGCTCAATAATGCTACTACGAAATGAGGTAAAAATTTATTAAAATTTGAGTAAGATATTAGATAAGAAAATAGTTCCCGCGAAAAGATAGGCTGCAGGCCGCATGCGCCTTGAAGGTCAGGTGTTTGACACTACTGATATAATGCTTTAACTTTGAGTGCCAACCAATCTCTAAATGAAGACAACGAGAATCCACTCCATTATCATTGCCAAGATGTGATGGACATTCAGAGATAATAAAGAAAAGGAAGTTGTGGAGAGCCATGATCGCCAATGTCCTGAATGGAGGTAGCATTAAAAGTGATTGTTTCAAATGATTACGCTATGTTACCTTCTGAAAAAATCAATACCCCCCTATCTTTTCCCAAGAAATGGATGACAATTCTCAATTAAAAAAAAATTAATCTTGAAAGGACATGGGAATAATCTTGTCACTGCCTCAAAATTCTATATTGTTGTCCTTTTAAAAAATGCAATACTCCACTATATTTCCCCAAAAGTGATGGGAATTTACCGATAATAAAAACAACCGAAATTGTGGAGAGTCATGACCGCCTACATCTTGAAGGGACATGGAATTTAAAAAAAAAAAAGGACTGTCGTCATTGTTTCAAAATGCTATATTGTTGGCCTTCTGAAAAAATCAATATTCCACTATCATTTGCATTTCAGAAAATAGCCAGTATCAAAGCATGGGAATTCACAGATAATGAAAAAGAACAGTGGAATGAAGGTACAGAGTCTTAAAAAATGCGTTTCTTTTATATATATTTTTAATGCATCTTTTCTGTTGCTTTTGCTTTCTTGTTTAATACTCAAGTTCTCAGTCTTGTTTGGTAATCTTATCCAGTTTTTGGATCAAATAACTCCTGAAACTTTGCCAGATAATACATAGTTTCTGGTTGTTTGGTCAGCGTCATTTGTGACACATTTAATTCGTATATTTGGTCCTTGCCTGTACGACTTATTTGACTTATTTATACTTTCAGTGATTCATTAACAATCGACTAACAACTTTCAATTAGTTAGATTAATTTAAAGGAAAAACTGGATTGAATGATTGCAAAACATTTATGATGACACAAAACATAATTAATATTAAAATGTATTATTTCCATAATGTTCATAAAATGTATGCAAAATAAAAATGATGCAAGCCAGTCTTCAATTACAAATTCTCTTTTATTTTAGAATTGAGCTAAAGTATTTAGTATCTATCTATCTAGCTCTAGCCCAATCTGTTCATCTGTCTGTCCCAGTCTATCTTTCTATATTCCCATCTACTTTTCAATCGCTGTTCTCTTCTCTATCTTTATATAATCATATTTCTAACTATCTATCTATCTATCTATCTATCTATCTATCTATCTATCTATCTATAGATAGATAGATAGATAGAGAGAGAGAGAGAGAGATTAAATGCTTTAGCTCAAGACTAAAATTTTAATTGGAGACTGACTTACATAATTTAATAATCTATTAAATAATATTTAAATAATCTGTCGATAGATAGATAGATAGATAGATAGATAGATAGATAGATAGATAGATAGATAGATAGATATGAACAGCCTGTGATAGATAGATAGATAGATAGATAGATAGATAGATAGATAGATAGATAGATAGATATGAACAGACTGTGATAGATAGATAGATAGATAGATAGATAGATAGATAGATAGATAGATAGATAGATAGATAGATAGATAGATAGATAGATAGATAGATAGATAGATAGATAGATAGATAGATAGATAGATAGATAGATAGATAGATAGCCTTAATTCTTATTTATATTATTTACATTCGAACTATTAATCTCATCTTTGTTGTTATCACAACGTTTCGGCCGTTGTGCCTTGCGGTCTTCATCAGGTGTACGTCGATGGGGGTAACCTACATGGAATTTCGAACTGGGTCCTTTATTTAATCTATGGAGTAGATTGTCCCACGGCACAATATTCTAGTGTATTAAAATGTTGGTTCGTGAATTCGGTGACATAGTAATTGTGAGTTCAATCCCTGGACCGGGCAGTGGAAACGAGATGAGTGAATAACTGAGCAGTACTAAAATAATAACTAGACGAGATATCCCTAAATATGGATAGTGGAAGAACTATTTACCATTATAGATTAAATAAAGGGTTCAGTTCGAAATTTCCTGTGGGTTACTCGGATCGATATACACCTGATGAATGCCGGAGGGTACAACGACCGAAACGTTGTGATAATAAGAATTAAGATAAGGATAATAGTCTGCATGTAAATAATAATAACTCCTCTTCGAAGAAATTCAGACAGCTAAAAACTGGAATGAAAGAAAAAGCAAAACCAAGTCGCCTCTTTACCCAATTAAAGAAATTTTCAATACATATGCATATATATATATATATATATATATATATATATATATATATATATATATATATATATATATATTAATCTTAGTGTTTCAAAGGAGAAATAGATTCTTTGGAAGATCTATCCGGGTCAAAAAAGAACGTTGAAATGGTATAGCCCGATCGTAAGAGTTAACAATTGCCATTCTACAAGAATATATCTGAGATCAAAGAAAAACAGGTACACAGGGGGAAAAACACAGGCCGACAATGTCACTGTGCGAACTGAAAGATATATTTCCATAGATTGGCACGTAACCGAGACATATAGAGGGATCTGGTCAGGTGCTTTACTACAGAGCGATACTACGAACATATTCGATCAAGGGACTGATGATGACAAGGAAAAGGATGAAGTCTTAGTTAATAAGCGTTTATGTTACCGTCGAATACTGGCTATTTTCTGAAATATTACTTCTTCCGGAACTGTAGAACTTTGCATCAGGTTTGGCTGTGTCAAATAAATAACGATGAAGAATTCAAACTTTAAAAAACGCAAATAACACGATAGATTAGCAAGGTCGAAAGTTCACAGACAAACTTATTTTGTTTATTTTCCTCTTCTTCGAAATTCAATTCCATGAAAATTGTGTTTTAATTCATAAATAATAACCATTTTAGGCAAGAAAAATTCTTACTTATTTTGTAAACGAAATGAAACTTTGGATGCTGTTATAAAAAGAATGTTTAAATGTACATTCGATGCTGGAAAAATGCTGACTGATCCAAACATCTTTCTGGGCAGGTCATGTCTTCATCATAATTCGAACAAATTCTGAAATGGAATATTGCAAACAGTATTATTTATTATGGTTCTATTCTGTTAATAACGATTGCGGACCACTAACAATACATTTACTTCTGATTAACAATGCATTTTGTAGTAATATATTGTGCAATGCTTTTTAACATAAAATCAATAGGCGCAAATTTATACAATACTCAAATTACCAATTTTAGATGCAAATTTATACAATATTCAAATTACCAATTTTAGACGCAAATTTATACAATCTTCAAATTACCAATTTTAGACGCAAATTTATAGACCAAAATTTAACAATATTCAAATTACCAATTTTAGACGCAAATTTATAGAATACTCAAATTACCAATTTTAGACGCAAATTTATAGAATATTCAAATTACCAATTTTAGACGCAAATTTATACAATATTCAAATTACCAATTTTAGACGCAAATTTATACAATACTCAAATTACCAATTTTAGACGCAAATTTATACAATATTCAAATTACCAATTTTAGACGCAAATTTATACAATATTCAAATTACCAATTTTAGACGCAAATTTATACAATATTCAAATTACCAATTTTAGACGCAAATTTATATTCAAATACTCAAAAATACCAAATTTTAGACGCAAAAATAAATTTAGACAAAATACTACTAAATTACCAATTTTAGACGCAAATTTATACAATATTCAAATTACCAATTTTAGACCTAAATTTATACAATATTCAAATTACCAATTTTAGACGCAAATTTATACAATATTCAAATTACCAATTTCCTCGTCAATTTAGTCGTTTTTGCTTTTATCTTTTCTATTTTTTTTTATCTACGGCATGTTATATAAGTTATAATATTTTTTATTACTTTATCTTGATATACTATTAAAATATCAAACATCATAGTTTCACTTCGCAAATACGAAGATCAAGAGGGAGTCTGTTCACGTCGAATGCAGGCACGTTTTTGACTGATAAGCCCAATACGGGACAGGCATACACGGTCGCAGCAGTTGAATGTCCGGCCTGTTCTCGATGGCATAGCTTTGCACTATTTCTGCCTCTTGTCCCCGAGAGCGGCCCTGCAGGTATTTTCAAAGACTGAGAAAAAAAATGGTTGGTGGTGAGACGCCAGGAGTTACGGTTCTCAGCTAGGGTTGACCATTGGTAATGGTTGATGTGACAGGCACCAAAGGATTTTTTTCAGGCAGTCTTTGAATCACTTCTTTGGTGCCCTTCTGTCGCGATGGCCAGTAGAGAGCTCGCCGTATATCAATATTTCTTACATAAAGTACTTCATTTTATTCCCTCTAAAATTTGCTATTAAATTTAGGGAAAAAATGGCTTTATTCGAATCGGCATTTTACTTATAAAAGTAAAGTCTTGAGGTTTGTGCTTCTTATATTATTTCCTCACAAAAAGGCGATGATGTTACTAAAATGCAAGGTGGGTTACTGAATGGCAAAGAATATGAGAAAAAGAAAAACATTATTCAATAATAGCAATTAAGAAGATAGAAGATTATATTGCACTTAAATTTTTGAAGATCAAAGTTGACGGGGAAGAAAGTACCACAAGCGAGAAGTACCAGAGAAAAACTATTAGCATAGAAATAACGGTTATAATAATCAATGTCAACTGTAAATTGATGCACCCTAAATATTTGTATCTATAAAATAACGTATATATATATATATATATATATATATATATATATATATATATATATATATATATATATATTGGCTCCTGAAAAATTAATTTCAGTTGATCTCTGGGGAAGAGGTGTGGTTTGTAACATTATATTATATATATGTGGATTATAGCCATTACTTTTTGTAACCCTATATTCCTGTGTCATAAATCGATGAACTTTTGATCAAAAGTAACGAAAATGGCAATAATTTATTTTGATTCTTGAAAAAGATTACCCCCACTCATCAAAACCGAGAGTTCGATTTTACCATATACACAATAAGAGTAAAAAAAAAATCGAAATATTTCGGAACCTTTATTTTTCAGTTTGCTAATGATAGTACTTCAGTCACTTATGTGCCATACCCACTTAGGCGATCATGTCTCTTTCGATATATGACTGACGAGGCAGAATTTTTCAAAGGATTTCTTTCTGCGATAGACCAGTTGCCATCCAAGGCATAGATCCCGGTCTGCCATGCTATTTACCCAAAGGTTGGAGAAGAGGAGGAGGATTGATACAAGGTAAGTAAACGAATGTAATGGATTCGACAGGAATTCGAACTCGGCTCTCCGATTTCTCAATCCGAGCTGCTATCCATTACTCCCAGTGATGGTACTTATGTATTTTAACGTCTTTAACAGTTTACCGCTATAATATAACATACAACCTTACAAATAAACAAAAATAAGTTCTAGAAGATTCCAGAAAGTTCTAGAAGGCTCCAGAAAGTCATAATACTACAATACTTATATATAATTTTAGAAATTTTGTGTTGCACTTAAAAACAAATTGAATTAAACCATTCTTCATTATTTTTTTAATAAAATTTCATCGAATTATGTTACAGAAAATCAGTTATTTTACAAAAAGTAAAAAAAAAAGTTATAACCCTAATGTATATATAAGGAAGACGCAGCTTCGATCTTTGTTGAAAGGTATTTTTTTTTATTAAGACTTTCAAGTGCACATGTCGATAGACATTAATTTACACTGTTTAGAATAACGGGAATGTCTATTCAAACACTAAATACGTTTAAAGCTATAATAAATAATGTCACTTATAAATAAAATGCGTTAAATCCTTACTTTGTTTATGTTTCGGATACGAAAATAAATTTAACATCTATGGGCTTCGAGAGATTAGAAAAGATGTGCATTTCTTAAAAGAGTAGTTGAATCTATGACAGCTTTCTGTGGCTGAGACGTCTAAAGCATGCAGGGCCAGACGATGTTTTTTCCCTATAAAGGCGACGCAGGTTTAAACCCTGCCGGAAGGTACATTTATTAAGACATTTGAATACACAGATCGGAAGAAGTAAATTTACACCAGAGGCGTCTATTCAAATACAAGAATCCACTAAATATATCATTTGAAGTAATAAGAAACACATATATATATATATATATATATATATATATATATATATATATATATATATATATATATATTGTGTGTGTATTTAGGCAGCATCTTTTCATTCATGCACTTTTCATTAAGTATATAAACAAGTGTTGTCTATTTATTTTATGTAAAATTTTTTCGTAACGTCTGATAACTTTAATAACATTATCGTTGAACGAAGAAAGAAATTCACAATATAGATCCATATTTTTTTTTAATACAATCTAAGCTTAATGAAACGTAATGAATATATATATATATATATATATATATATATATATATATATATATATATATATATATATATATTTGTGCGTGTGTGTGTGAATAAAAAGAGACAAGAGGAAAAAAATATTCTTAGCCGATGCCTTTAGACGAAGTAAGATTTATTTTGCGGCATGTGTTTATTGCCTTGATAAAGTCACTCAGAGGACGAAACGCGTCGGCTAAGAATGATTTTTCCTCTTGTCTCTTTTATTAATTTTCTTTCTTCACAGATACATACTGTCTGAAAACAATCTCTCCCTCTTTCTCTTTCTCTCTCTCTCTCTCTCTCTCTCTCTCTCTCTCTCTATATATATATATATATATATATATATATATATAATTATTTATTTAGAAAATTTATAACATAAACATGTTATAAAATCACTACAAAATTACCATTTTGTTTCAACACTCCCGGTGTCTTATCAAGTGATGCTTTTGAATGCAAAACAAATGGTTTTAAAAGTTTCACATTAACGATCCTTATTTTGATTGGTCATTCAAGCTTTTGGAACAACGTTTTCCCCTTGTGAAAGATTGTTAACTAATTTAAAACTTTTAAAACCATTTGTTTTGCATTCAAAAGCATCACTTAATAAGACACCGGGAGTGTTGAAACAAAATGGCTATTTTCGTCGTGATTTTATAACATGTTTATGTTATAATTTTTTTAAATAAATAATTATATCTGCTCTACTTTGTATTGAGCACTCTTTTAAGAATAGTAATTGTTGGTTATTGGAATTCATTCCGTATACACCAATTATATATTTATATATATATATATATATATATATATATATATATATATAGAGAGAGAGAGAGAGAGAGAGAGAGAGAGAAAGAGAGAGAGACACTACAGTTCAAAAGTTTGAGGCAACCACTGTTAATTTTTTAAATTGATTCAAAAAGTAGTTGTTTTGTGCTTTAAACAATAGAAAATTATCATATATGTTTAAAAAAAGAGTTTTTTTATTAGAAATTTTATAACAAAAATAAAAATAAATTTATGCTTAAATTTTGCTCTCGTCAAAATACCCTCCTTTGGCCTTGACTACTGCAGCACAAATCTTCGGCATTCCTTGCAAAAGTTTCTCAAAGTATAACTTGATAATTGATTCCATTATTTTTCAATGACTCTAAGATCTCTTTTTCACTTTTTTCAGTCTTCTGTCAAGTTCATCCCATGCTAATTCTGTGGGTGGCTTCAAACTTTTGAGCAGTATATATATATATATATATATATATATATATATATATATATATATATATATATATATTATTCATTTTAATTAATAATAGAGAAAAAATATTTGGCAATAATTAACAAAGTTTTGCTTACAGACTGAAAAATTCGGTTGCGTAGCAGATATTTGCGAACTTCAGCATACTCTAACACAAGGCCAGTAGATAGTAGATAATGGAATTCATAATCGAGACAAAGGTCAGGTAAATTAGCTAGTTAATATTCACCTTACTGGGGAATACCCTTGATTAATAAATGAATGTTAATATACGAAGTTTGATCCGAAAGTAATTCTACCTGTTTTATTGCGTTGTCCTACAGCATTGGAACCAGATTAGCGGGTATGGCAGTAGAGTATGAAATTTCTTGATAATAGCCTATTTATTTGTCATGAAAGTGTCTACGAAGAATTAAAGATCATTTTTCATGCAGAAAAAAAATGACATTCTTGCCGTTTACGAAGGTCAAATAGTGGATCTAAACACAGTTAGAAGTTTCAGTACTAATCCTGCGTTTCTTGTTTCTCTGGTAGTTTCCGTGGAAACAAATAGGGTGCATTACTTTCGGAGCAACCATCGTAATAGAACTCTTACCGACATTGTTTAGTTTGCCGTCTCCATCCTCGTCGGCTTCGTTAATCATATCTTGAGCTTCTTGATCGCTAATTTTTACTCCCAACTTCGACATAATGTGACGTAACTCAGCCGCGTTGATGAAACCGTCGCCATTTTTGTCTAATACTTTAAATACGTCCATAATTTCTTCCAGATGGTTTACTTCCCACTGACGTTTTGACATCATTTCCAAAAATTCATCCACTTCTAAAGTCCCATTGCCTGTGAAGAAGAATTCAAATAAAACATCCTGTTACTTCATATCGGCAAAAAAGTATTTGGTTATTAAAAGAATGCGAAACAGTTTGGGTTTTTCGAGACTTAGAAGCCTATTAGGATTCATTATTAGCGGCCACAATCTTAACAACATTAGATATGCAGATGATGCGGTGTTGATAGCAAACACAGAAAGGAAACTACAATAACTCTTACAGAAGGAGGTAAAATAAGATAGAAGAAAGGACGAAACATCAATTGTAAAAAGACAGGATGTATGGTTGTCCACAAAAGAGACAAAGACGCGAACTACAAATTGGAAATACCAAAATCAAGCAAATAGAAAAATTGAAATATCTAGGAAGTGATTTAAAAGAGGATAGAAGAAGTGACACCGAAATCCGAAGGTGCATTGGAATAGCAAATGTTGCCTTCCAAAATCTAAGCAAAGAAACAGGAAAATTTCATCTCAGATAAAGAAAGGAACTGAGGCAATAGAAATGAGGTTCTACAGAAGGAAACTGAGAACAATGTGGACGAAGCAACGAGGAAGTTTTAGGCAAAATCGAAACAAAGGGAAACTGATATTTTGAATCAGAAAGAGACAATTAATAATAAGGAAATAGGGCTTGGAGAATCTGACACTCACAAGATATATTGAAGGAAAAGAAAAAAGAAAGGAGAGAAAAAATAACAGTGAATAACCTATATAACGAGCTTGTGTAAATGGTTTGCAGAAAAGGAATTAGAAGAGATAGCAAAAAGAAAAACCTTACTAAGAGTTACAAAGGACAAAGCCTTGATCGTCCACATGCTGAAGGGACACAACACAACACAACTTTGAAGAAGAAGAAGAAGAAGAAGAAGAAGAACAAGAAGAAGATTAATTGATTGATTTTGTTTAGTGGCATATCAACACCTCTATGTTATTTAATACCGAAATCTAAATATTTTGTACGTAATTTTATGCCTTCAACTACAGATTTCATACATAATTTTATACTTGTAGAGTAAACGTATGCTTGTTGGATATATAGTTTGTACATAAAATGTACTGTTGTTGTATAATAAAAATTTACTGTTGATTGGGAGAACAACAGCTGTTAAGAGGTGCTTCCACACTCCTCCAATCTCCCAATCAGAGCCCTTGCTGCCGGATGTACTTTATCGTCATACCCAGAAAAGAAGAAGAAGAAGAAGAATCAATTACTTACAGTAAAGTTATAAAAAAGCGGGTGATGAATTACTGTCCTCTCGACATCTCTTTTTCCCACAGATGAAACATTGCAAGACTTTCCCTACACTATCGCTATGTCCATTCTGACGTGTTACATTCATTAGTTCTACTAGTTCCGACCTTCACAGCTAAAACCTTCTATGCCATGTACACTGGGGCGAATCCCCATTGCTTTCGTAATCCATAAGAAGTCTTGAGTATGGCGATAAACTACATCCGGCAGCTAGGCCGCTGATCGGGAGATTGGAGATTTCGAGGATCATGGAACCATCTCAATTGCTGTTGTTCCCAGGTCCACCCTGACCCGGGTGGTAGCACCTGTCAGAATCCAAGCTATGGACAAATAGTAACCCTCAAGCAAAAACAAAACACTATGATTGTATAAAACTACATATTTATAGTAAAAATAGCAATAATAAATATTTATAATAAATTATCAACAATCCAAATTTACGTCCTGGGTATGCCGATAAACTACATCCGTATTCTGGGTAAGACGATAAACTGCGTCCAACATCAAGGCCTCTGATCAGGAGGTTTTGGGGAGTATGGAACCACCTCTTAATTGTTGGTTTTCCCAGATCCAACCTGACTCGGGGTGGTAGCACCTGTTAGGGTCCCAGCTTTGGGCAAATAGTTAACTCCCCAACTGAAGTCAAAACACTATGAAAGTGTAAAAATAAGTTTTAATATCACAAATACTTTGTAAGAAAAAGTATTACCAGCAATACATTTTTGAAAAAAAAATGACCAACATACATTTTTTAAGAAAAATATTACTAGAAATAGATTTTTTGAAGGAAAAATATTACCAGAAATAAATTTTTGAAAACAAAATATTACCAGCAATAAAAATTTTGTCGGCTTTAAATAACCCATTGAGGTTGATATGCCGTAAAACAAAACAAACCAAACCAAAATCCATATTTATAGTAAAATTACCTACAATACAATTTTAAAGCAAAATGGCACACAATACATTTTATCTGTAGTTGAAAGCATACAACTTCGTTCAAAATATATTTAGTTGAAGCCATAAAGTTGTGTTCAAAATATTTCAATTAAAATTTCAGTATTAAATGACCCATGGATGTGTTGATAAGCCGTTAAACAAACAAATCATTCAAACATAAATCCATAAGGAGGAAGTTCCATGCTGACAGTTTCTTTCCGAGAATCGCTAGTTTGTGGAACAGACTCCCGAGATGATGCTTCACTATACTCTAAACCTCTTCAAGTCTAAGGTTAACCGTTATCTTTCCTACACATCATCATAATCTGCACTTCCTACCTCCTCCACTTACGCTCATACAACATCATCATTCAGCAACCTTCTACTTCGAGGGGCTTTGTATTAGATGAACAATTAGAAAAAAAGTCCCAATTCTTCATGAGTGATTAGGGTGATTATCATCTATGCAGTAATTAAGGCGTATACAGTCAGTTGTATCGAGATAAAGTAAAAGCGAACTGATTGTACTTATTTAAGACTAATAAGTAAATGTAGAACATTTTTTAACTATGCAGTAAAAATTATATACTATAATAATCTACATTCACTGGTCACTTTATTAGTCTTCTTGTATTCCCTTTCGCCTTTAGAACAGCCTCAGTTCTTCCTGGAGTTGATTCGACGATGTTCTGAAAGCACTCTTTTGAAATTTGGCTTCATTGTGTCAGCGATGATGCAAGATTTTCGTGGGCACCCTCCGAATCTATGATACTACACCCCACGAAATCTATCTCACACCCCTCCGAATCTCTAATCCGCCCCACTTTACTACATAGTAAATTCATATGGAATGCAAATTTAATTGTAACCTAAATATGTACAATAATGGATCATATGCAACATAGATGAGTAATTCAACTATTAGGTTGGTGCAAAAATAATGACGAATAATGTCGTTTTTGACGTATTTTTTAACGTCAAAAAACGACATTATTACGTCATTATTTTTGCACCAACCTAATAGAAAAATCGAAAATAAATACAATGTATCTAAAGACAAATTAGAAAGACATGTTACAGATCATTCCATTTTAAAATAAATCGACTATGTTTGGCGGCAATTTTCAACATCAACTTGAGATATTTCTTGTTAAAAAGTTGAGTAAATTTAACACGTTCAACATTATGGATAAAAAAAAATAGTGAACTTTATATAGTGTTTTTTTTTTCAGGACTTAGCATGAACAAAACAAATTCACGGATTTAGAGGAAACAAAAGAATCCCGAATAAAGTCAAAATCTGCGAAAAGTTTTCATCCTTTAATAATCAGTTGTGCTTAGTTGAATTTGTAACGCATATAAATGTATGTAGAAAAAAAAAGCAAATGTTGAAAAGATAGTGAGCGTCACAAAGCATTGCCCGAGGCCCCCAATCAGTCTCTCCCCGACTCAGTTGCGGGATTCGTAGGTAGTACGCAACGGCTATGTATGGTGGTGTTATAGCATCCATCAATTCTTCTAGAATTGATTGGCTACACATCTAGGATTCGAATCTCTCTTTCCGTCGCATTCCAAAGGTGCTCTATGGAACTGAGATCCGCTGACTGTGGAGGCAATTTTAACTTAGAAAACTCATTGCCGACTTCTATAAAAAAAGTCTACCACTATTTTTTTTCTGACACGGTACGTTGTCCTCCTGGAAGAGACCACCACAGGACGTGTGCACTGTTGTCATAAAATGAAACGCGTTGTCAGCCACAATACCTAGGCTGAGGCATTTAAATGATATTTTATTGGTACCAAGTTCTCTGATGGCATCTAATAGTTTTCTAATAGTTTTCCCATACCATTACGACTACCGTCAGTCGGATTCGTTGATACAAAGCAGGATGTATCTATATTTTCATGGCTCTACCATCCGAATATCGCAGCTGAAATCGAAACGCATCAGAGCAGATAACGCTTTCCCAATATTTTGTTCAGAGTTTGCGAATTGTCGCCTTGTCCTTTTACAAGACAGGCGTGGCACCTTCTGCTGCTGTAGCTCATCTGCTTCAAAAACCGTTGTAAAGACTTGTTATATAAGCTCCGTCAGTTGTGTGCCATGTGTGATACACGCTTAGGCGATCATGTATCTTTCGATACATGACTGACGAAGCAGAGATTTTTTCCCGCAGTAGGTTACCACTTCTTTCTGCGGTAGACCAGTTGCCATCCAGTGCTATAGAACCCGGTCGGGCCTGCTATTTACCTATTGGGGGGGGGAGAAGAGGATCCATACTATACCAGCTTCAACCAGTCTTGCCATTGACCTCAAGTCATTTTTTTCCCACAGAATTGCCACTCGCTGGATTTATTTTAAGCTTTCTGATCATTCTCTGTAAACCTGAGAGATGGTTGCACGTTAGAACTCTTAGATCAGCAGTTTTTTTTTTAAATACTCAGACTGACCTCTCTAACATCAACGACCATACCGCATCAAAAGTCACTTGACTCAACTTTCTTTCCAACTCTAATGCACGAAATGAAATTCAGTTGGTCACCGTTTAGATGCCTGTATTCATTAAATTGCTACAACCTCATTGGCTGATTAGAAATTTACATTTAGAATATTTGTTCACGTGTATTTGATTAAGCGGCCAGTAAGTGTATAATAGAAATTTTAAGAAAATTTAGTACACACCAAACATGATAAAAAACAATGTCTCTGGAATAAATATAATAGCAGCGTCCCACGCATTAATTCTGCTCTTCCCTAAGTGAAAAATATGAAATAATTGCTAAGGAAACAATGTATTTTGTCAGAAAGTTTTAAAAACATTTTCTGAATTGACAGCATCCCAAATAAGAAAGTATATGTAAAATGTAAATATCTTCATTTTTCAAACGAAATGATTTCAATTAGAAACAGAAAAAAAAGTAATAACTGAAAATTAGATTTTCAAAAAATCGTAGACGGAAAAACTGTTCTTTTGTCCCGAAATATTTGCTTTAATTCCAATGTAGAATTCCTATTCTCTGTGAATTTTTATATTTGAAAATTAGACACAAATTTGAACAGACGACATTGGAATGTTCACGTGCCCTGCTCCCCCCTCAGGACGTAGGTGATCATGGTTCTCCACAATTTCCTGTCCTTTGTAGCCCTTAATAAATTTTGTCTTTTTGTTATATCTCCTAAACATTGCACCACCATCCATTTACTCAAGCTCACTAAGTATGTTATGCGTTGTTTTCATCTGTCCTTCTTGCCTTCAATCTGTCCTGTGAGTAACAGATTTTCTAAGCCCTCTTTCCTCATTATGTGCCCTAGAAATTTCAACTTTTTCTTTCTGATGTTAAGTAAAAATTTCCAATTTCTTTAAAATTTGCCGTTACTCACATATTCGGTCGATGGTATCCTCATCATCTCTCTGTAGAACCATATTTCTGTTGCTTCAAATCTCTTCATCTTTGAGGATGCTTTCACTATGGCGGTCTGAGGTCACCAACCAAGTGGTTCTGGGGTACAAATATACCACACAACAGTATACCAATTCTGATGAGGGTATACCGGATACATGCACCATAGCCAAATGTGCGTGATATGGTGACATATTTTAATAAAAGCAGCAGATAACCTAGCAAGTTAGGAATACATTCAGGTAACCATGCCCACTCAGCTGGTATCCGGTTGAGGATGTTCCCAAGTATCTAGATAGTCGCCTTGGTTGCCTCAGCATTCAAACTTTAAAAAAAAAACTTTCGACACCTGGCCATTACAGTCCTTTATTACTGCCTCTCATGAACAAATATAGGGGACATACCTAGCTGGTTAAGCTAGTAAAGAATGGTCGAGCTACCGTTGCTATTCTAACAGCTTCAACCAGTCTGACCATTGACCTCTGACTTCTTTCATTAACAAGCCATTTCTCACCATAGAATTACCATTCACTTTAAAAAAAAAATTCAGCACATTCTCAGTGAATCTGAGAGATGGTTGCGCGTTAAAAATCTTAGTAGATCAGCAATTTTTTAAACACTTAGCACGAATGACCATGCCGCGTCAAAAGTATAGTATCAACGACCATGCCGCGTCAAAAGCTACTTAACTCAACTTTCTTTCCAACTTTGCACGAAATAAAATTCAGCTGGTCACTATAACTATGTTTAAACGCCTATCTTCAGTAAATATCCCCTTTAGTATTACAGACAAATCTATAGTAGTAAAGGGGATATTTACTATAGTCTGTCTTAAAATAAAACCTGGACGTGTTAACACCTCTAATCAATTCGGATCGAAAAGGGCATTTATTATTATTATTATTATTATAACTAATTAATCAGTTAAGACAATGAATGATCCAGTTAATTAATCATGTTTATTCACTTTTGAGTCAACCAGATTTTGATTTATAAATTCTCAGCAAATCCTATTTAACAAATAAGCAAAATAAATACTTGTTTAGGGAATCAATAAAAAGATGCATGATAGTTCCCCCCCCCCCAAACAATAACACTTTTTTCACTGATATTTTAGTTGATTTTTTTTTAAATAATATTCCTTGGCTTTCTGCGTTCAACTTTACTGTTTTAACGGGGTGATTAACGACTCTTAACTACTTGGCGGACGTCTGCTAAGTTTGTGAAATAGGCCTTGGAGGGCAAAACAAAAACATCACCATATCACAAATGACAACTTTATTTATTTGCATTATTTGCTCTTTAGAACTTAACTAATTTAATAAAAAGAAAGTGTACGAAGGAAAGTCGACTTGAAAAGTTCTTTCTTACTGTTGTCACTAAAGTCGGTTTCCTTTGATTCTGCGCCCTCATTCCCTTTGTGGCAAGGCGAGATTTGATTTTTATAGCTATATCAACTTTTTATAGCTATATCAACCTTTTCTGAGTTATTTAAAGTTGAAAAATATTTCGAATTATATGAATAATTACTTTTTGTAAGTAAATATTGCAACGATTTTCCGTAGCAGGTGGATGACATGGATTCATACATTTCCGAAGACGTAGTCATTTGTACGTAGATAAATGTAATTCGAACTCGGCTCTCCGTTTTCCCACTCCGAGACGCTGTACACTACCTGCACATCTATGGTAAGAGAAAACCGAAACGGCGTGACAAGTAACTTTTATAGTTTTGGGTCGCGTGCCTTTGTCGTTAGATGTCCTTTTATAAGGTTGGGTAGCATAGGTATGCTGATTTAATTTCTTTTGCAAGCTTTTCATTGGCTAAAAAACAATATTATTTTTTTAGTAAAGTTGAGCTGATTTTTAAATATGCTTTCAACCAGAAATGATTTATCTGATGGGTTTTTGTTGGTTTTTAATTTCCAGTCAACAAGATTAGTTTGTTTTTTTGTTTTTTTAATTAAGGCCCCGACAAGTTGTTTAAAAATATGTTCTTTCAATTATTAAGAGATTAGAGTTTCGAGAATTTGACTTTTATCATCAGATACCACCTTTATTTATTTGCCACAGTTTGAGATATGTGCTTCTGTTGTGTGTTATAAAGTTATATTTGATATTAGCTAGATGGATCTGAGACAATTCAACGTGTGTTTACAACTAAGATTATCAATTAACACCTTTCTCTGCTCCTCTTTTGCCCTTTTCCCGTATCTTCTTATTCTCTCCCTCGTCGTTTGCCTGTATCTTCTCATTCTCTCCCTTATCCCTTCCAATATAAGTAAGATTATCTGTTATCCATGCTTCATGATCGTTGATCGGATGAGATCGATGTTTCAACGTGATATGGCCGTAAGCCCGAATAAAAAGTTACAGATATTCAAATGTTTTGTGTATAGCGTATCAATTGATCAATCATATTTCGAAATATAAATATATATATATATATATATATATATATATATGAAGAAATATAGTCTTAAGGTGTGCTATATTTATGGGATAAAGTGCTCGATATCATAGATAGAGCGTGTGTAAATATAAAAGTGAACATAAATATTTGAAGTCCAGTTATATGCAATCGTCAGGCCTGACGATTGCATATAGCATGAAACAGACTGTCAGTGTTCGTCTATGTTCACTTTTATATTTATATATATATATATATATATATATATATATATATATATATATATATATTGTTACATATTACACTTTGTCACCGTCAGCTTCGTCAATTCGAGTTGTTTTTTGTTAACTGTTTCCACGGGACGGTCAGATCTTTTAAAATTGTCAGCCAGGTGAATGAGTCATTTTCTTTGGGGGTGGACACAAAACAAGCTAGGTGCTGCAGCTGATAACGGGAATAGGACGATGATCCTTGTGGCACTTCTTTCACGTCATTACCGTATTTCCCTAGAGTTTCCCCCATGATTTCCTTAACCAACTAATTAGAGTCATGGAAGAAAGCTTCTCATATGATATCAATCAAACATAACCCTGCAATGCATTTGATTCACATTTGCCTGCAAACAGATTCAGTGAACCAAATGGCACATCAAGTTGTTAAACATAATTTTTTCTTTAAAGATTTCTCCTCTATTCAGTTTTATCAGAAGACTGCGTTTAAGAAATTTGATAGACTGGACTTTTAAAAAACACATCCGAAGACCGAGATATTAATCTAAGTGGACACAGCATCTAGTAAACTAAAAGATATGCAAATAGATACACCAGATGGTAGACTAAAAGACATGCAAGTAAACACCCCAGCTGGTAGACTAAAAGACATTCAAGTAGACACACCAGATGGTAGACTAAAAGACATGCAAATAGATACACCAGCTGGTAGACTAAAAGACACGCAAGTAGACACACCAGATGGTAGACTAAAAGACATGCAAGTAAACACACCAGCTGGTAGACTAAAAGACATGCAAGTAGACACACCAGATGGTATACTAAAAGACACGCAAGTAGACACACCAGATGGTAGACTAAAAGACATGCAAGTAGACACACCAGCTGGTATACTAAAAGACATGCAAGTAGACACACCAGCTGGTAGACTAAAAGACACGCAAGTAGACACAACAGATGGTAGACTAAAAGACATGCAAGTAAACACACCAGCTGGTAGACTAAAAGACATTCAAGTAGACACACCAGTTTGTAGACTAAAAGACATGCAAGTAGACACACCAGCTGATAGACTAAAAGGCACGCAAGTAAACACACCAGCTGGTAGACTAAAAGGCATGCAAGTAGACACGAATACAACAGCTTATAGGCTCTCATTAAGTAAGATAGCCTCTATATAGTTCAAAAGCTTCTTGATGGATTATTTTCCACACTACAAACCCTTTCCCATAGATGAACGTCGCATGCTTCTCTCGATACTATCGCTATTTTTATGGCAAATGTTCTGATAAGCTACAGTCGTTAATTCCACCAGTTCAGACCTTCCCAACTAAGAACTGTATCATAGTTACGAATCATCCTGATTCCATTCGTGTTCCATTAGTAAAAAGAAGTTATATTCGGTAAGCTTCTTAACAATAACTGCTACTTTGTCGAACAGACTCCCGAGGAAATGCTTCCTCATTTAGTAACATGCTACCTTGAGTGGTTCTTGGGTCTTGTATGGGCTGAACAATTAATTTAAATTTTAAAAAATTAATTAAAAGAATGCACAACGAAATGTGACGATGAGAATAAAAGGGGGCTGGATTCAAATTTGGGGTCGAATTTAGGGTATGACGGAAAACAAAGATGGCAACACGTACCGTCTATGTCGACCTCGTTAATGAAGTCGCGTAAATCAGATTCAGCTGCGTGTTGACCCAGCGAACGTAAAACTGACCCCAATTCTTTTGCAGTCAAACGTCCATCATGATCCCTGTCTAACATCCGAAAAGCTTCTTTATATGCTGAAATTTAGAAACAAATATAAAACACTTTGAATTACCACCCTAAAAAGAATATATTGATCACATATATGTGTGAGGCCATTCGAGAAGTAGGTGATAATGACTCTCCACAGCTTCTTTTTCTTTAATAGATGTAAACTATACATTGTTAGTAGTGTTTTGCTGGTAGGATAACGAATATTGGCTCGGAATGAATAATCGGAGAGCCGTGTTCGAGTTCCAGTCAAGTTTGTTATATTCACTTACATACAAATACCATTGAGAAAGTATGAATCCATCTCTTCTCCCTTAATTATGGGTTAAATAGTATGACTTCTATCTGGAAAAATCATTGTTATCTCCCAAAAATTGTTAATGCAGTATTCACTCTCAAAAAATGAAGAATTATTGTTACAATTCAAAATGTTTCAGCTTTAAATAACCCACAAAGGTTGATAAATCGTAAAAAAACACGGTTTTTAATTCAGTTTTATCCTTCTCCTAGATGGGTTGCCAATCAAGATTACAAAACCTCTTATGCCATATTATTTAACTCAAAGTTGATGGGAAAGGAGATAGATTCGTGCCTATCCCAAAGGCATAAGCCTGGAATGAACACAAACGATCCCAACCAGAATTCGAACTCGTATTGCCGATTTCATTTTCCTGTATGTTAATTTACGCGCACCTGTATTAGTCATAGGTATATATTCGATTTTTTAAAAACATTATGTAAGAAAATTATAAGAATTAGACGCTTCACTGTGGAGCAGGGGTTAACAAAACAGCCGAACTTACTAAGTAACTATAGGGCGCCTTATAGTTGATTTGTAAGCTATTATGGCAGACTATTATTGCAATATGCTCGACTCTCATTGGATGCCTTACATAACTTTATGTTAGACTGAGCAAAGTTTAATAAATATCAAGGCAATTCATTGTAGAGTAAAGGTTAATAAGCCCCTCTTGTAGTCTGTGACCACTGTAGTGAGTTTTGTATCTTTGTAAGACAATATTTTAAAATATCTAATCAGAAGGAGACAGATGAATTTTTGAGTACACATTATGAGGAAAGAGGGCTGGAGAATTTGACACTCACAGAACATACTGAAGGCAAGAGTGGCAGAGGATAGAAGAGAATGACCTACCTAACGAGCTTGAATAAATGGTTGACAAAACAGGGATAGCAAAAAGACAAACCTTACTATGAGATACAAATGGCAGGAAGTTATGGAGAGCCATGATCGCCCACATCCCGAAGGGAGACGTTACATAGCAGAAGAAGATGTAACGTCGTATGTCAATTTTTCTTTCCTTTTCGGTGAGAACAATTCTTTATTCATTACCATTGATTTTTGTTCTCAAATCGACAAGCAGACGATAGGAACTGGATAAAAAAAAAGCTTAAAGCCAATTTAAATGAATAAAAAGACGCCGACTTTTTCTCGATGAATAAACTCGTTAGTTTTGAAATGTAAGTCTTTACAAATGTGCATCGGATCAAGTTTTTAAAAAATTCTTTGGGAGACTTTCATGCCTCAATTTCATGTAGCATTATGTACACGGGGGCGCCTTCGATATTAGCGCTGAAATATTCGGCAGATGATCCCATTTTTCAAAGAAAGTATCATACATTTCTGACAGATGTGCGGGTGGTATAACAGATATCAGTGTGGAAACTAGAATCTGCAAACCGAATTCAAATTCCAGGCTAGTATTTTGCGTTCACGTTTCCACAAATGGCACCAGGAAAAATTTAATCCGTCTCTTCTTTATAGGAGTTAAATAACAAGATAAACTGCGTTTAATGCTATGTGGCTTCCTGATCTTTCTTCAAATGTTTGAATTTCTTGTGAAAATGTAAGGAACTCTGTCCTCCATCTCTTAAGTCAGGCGTTTATATATCTTCCTATCATCTGGTTTTCTTGTGAGTGTTTGTGTATCCTAAATTCAGCTGAGATTCCAATCAATATAATTTCTATTAGGAATACACCAGAGTATTTTGCTTACTGGAAATAGTAAATTTAATCATTTAGTTTTGAATTAAAGCTGAAAAGAAAGCTTCAAGATTGCTTTTTCATTTTTAAAAATCCATTTTAAACTTTAGGTATAGAAAATTTAGTGGGTCTCTAGTATAGTTAGGTATAAATAATCAAAGTACGATGACAAACCAAAATAATGCTTTTAAAATTTACACATATGTATAATAATTACAATTTTTTTTTCTAAATATTCCTCGTAAATTTTAGTTGTGGGTTTTAGGACCGGAAATACGCTAATTTTGCTGATAGGCGTTGCTAATAATGAAATACGGTGCTTTTGCTTGGATTCTTTGCTGATATAAAATACGGTATTTCTGCTGAGAGAGGTTGCTAATATGACATACACTACTTTTTTAAATGAAATGAAATGCGGTACTTTTGCTTGGATTCGTTGCTAATATAAAATGCGGTACTTTTTTTCTGAGAGCCGTTGCTAATTTGAAATAATGTATTTTTGCTTGGATTCGCTGTTAATATGAAATATTTTATTTTTGATAGGAGACGTTTGCTAATATAAAATGTAGTACTTTATCGGGATGGCGTTGCTAATTTGAAATACGGTACTTTTACTTGGATTCGTTGCTAATATAAAACGTACTAATTTTTCTGACAGTCGTTGTTAATAGGAAATACGGTACTTTTACTGTTAGCCGTTACTAATAAAAATATTTTTACTTTGCTAGTAGATGTTACTCATGTGAAATACGATACTTTAGCTGGGAGTCGTTGCTAATATAAATTATGGAATCTGAGTAAAATGTTGGTGTGTATGCATATTAATGGTCAACGATCAGTTAACAAAAGGAAAGAAAGAAACGATAGTTAACAGTTGGCCGTAAAATTATAGATTATTAAATAACTGAACAATTGCACTCACCTGCAATTTCAGTTTTAGATAGCTTGTTTACCTGAAACATAAAGATAATATATTTGTAGAAATCAACGATGTTTTACAAATTATGCATTAATGTTTCTATATATTTTGTGTTTGTTTGCTTGTTTACTGTAACAAGCGTTGTTTGCTTGTTTACTGTAACAAGCGTTGTTTGCTTGTTTACTGTAACAAGCGTTCAAACAATGGCGTTCAAACAATGGCGAATCTTATGTTTGTTAGCGCATAAGCGTTAAAATATCTAACTAGGGACAAAAACTGTCTCAGCCTAAATTGCAACTTAATCGTGTCGGCTCAAGATTCGTTCCCATCCAGATGATCTATTTGGTTGAGCCATGAATAGTTTCCACTTTTGCTTATCCACTTTACTCTTCAAAAAATAAAATACAGGTACAATTTGTTCAATTATACGACGTCTGATCAAAAGATATCGGGACCTTTGTTATGTTATGTTGCTAAAGTAGGCACTGAAGTTGCACTGATTGACCTTGAACTATAATGTTCTCACTCACTCCCGTTGTTTATAACAGTGCTTTGAAGGAATGTGTAGAGTGTAGCCGTCTCATCACACTACAGAGTCAATGGGTCAATGACCATAGATTGTGCAGCAGTTTAGGGCCAATCACAATATTCTCAAGGTCCGACAATCAGAAACCGCGCCCCTAGCGACTTTTCCTCTTCAAAAATCAAATCTCACTTGTCGATGAACTCCAAGAGAATGCGACGACGCAGTTGCTCGCTATCCCCCACAAAAAAAAGGAGTCCCTGGAATGCTTCATCAAGGAATACTACGCTTGATAAAGTATATGGCTTCAGAAGAGGACCACTTCGAAGGAGATTAAATGCCGAATTGATATGTGCTGTAGTTTTGTTTTACATAGCACCAGTCCCGATACTTTTTGATCTGACTTCGTATATTCACCGTTATTTTGCAATGACTTGTTACCAGTTATTGGATACCTTTTAAGTAAAATTCTGCAGGTTTGGATGGGGAAAATCTGGCTTTAATTAGAGAAAGTTTTCCCCGTCGAAATAACTGGTTGGTGCAAGGTCAGATGAATATGGTGGATAGGTAGAACAGACCAACCGAGTTCCACAATACTTTCTCGTGTTACTCTTTTTGTATGCGGCCTTTAAACAACCGTATCTGCGACTGCCGTACAAAAACTGACGTACGTTAGCGTGCTCTAAACTTATTCTAAACTGTTACGTATGATTATTAGTTAAGATCATAAAAATTTGGTCAAAGAAAAGATATTACTTATGACTCAACCTAATATTATAAATAACCATATTCCACAAAGGGGATTATTTCAGATATATTAAATATTAGTGCTTAACTATTTATTGAAAATAATTGGGATATAATTTGCATAATTACTTAATACTGCAATTATGATGGTTTGGATTGACTTGTTTGTTTAATGGTATATCAACTCCTTATGGGTCATTTAATGCTGAAATTTTTTATTCCAAAAATGTATTGCTGGTAATTTTTAATTTTTTTTTTACTTTGAAAATTTATTTTTTGTAATCTATTTTTATATTTTCAGGCTTTGACCTCAATTTGGGGGATCACTGTTTGCCCATAGCTGGGATCCTAACAGGTGCTACCACTCTGAGTCAGGATGGACCTGCGAACAACAGCAATTAAGAGGTGGTTCCATGCTTTTCAAAACCTCCCGATCAGAAGCCTTGCTGCCGGATGTAGTTTATAGTCATACAAATGCAATTATGACATTTGCAAACATTGTAAACATCCCGATTCTGTTCATGTTGTTAATTATCAAAAGAAAAGAATTTAGGGAAATTTTGATGTTAGCAAATGTTACAGAACGCGTGGTGGCCAGCAAAAGGGACAGCCCAATGTGCAATTTACGTATCGGGGACGTTAAAAACAAGCGGTTACGGAAATTTAATTATCTAGATAATATAGTAACAGACAGGCGTCATGCATGACGTCCGTGTAAATGTCAGATCGAAACTTTCATCTAGATATCATGTATGGCATCAAACTCGTTCAGAAATATCTAAACTGTTAGCTGTATACGACAACTACTGGTTAAAAATGGCTTCGAGCGAATGAAGTACGTAAGAACCATCCTTATTCAAACCTCGTGGACTGGCGCTACACAATCATAAAGAATTGTACCAAATAACAGAAACCATATCACTTGAGGATGTTCAACAGCAGCACATGGCTCGCACATGTAACTCGAATGGAAAATAATGACATAATCAAAATGTCGATATTCCACACTACTTCAAACAAAAGGTTAAGAAGGAACTCTCCCCCCCCCATTAATACTGGAAAGCGTGATGACAGTGGATTTGATAAAACCTATTTTCCTGAAAAATTGTTTTAAGAAAAAAAAAATTATAAATTTTAACTGGCATCGGCACTGGCTGCACAGTCAATGAATGCTGAATATTTCCTTATAAGGAAACGGCTAATTTTACCATTACCTTCATGTTGTATTCTCATCACCATCTGAAGACAAAAATATAAATAGTAAATTTTTGATTTGCTTTTATTATTAGCTGTGTATATTATTAGGTTGGTGCAAAAATAATGACGTAATAATGTCGTTTTTTGACGTATTTTTTAACGTCAAAAAACGACATTATTACGTCATTATTTTTGCACCAACCTAATATTTTTAATAATTAAGTTGTGATTGGAGAAAGCTATTTCTCTGAGAAACTGTCTCGGTCAATGAATGCCAAATATTTCCACGTAAGGAAACGGCTTATGTTACCATGAGAGATGAGAACAGATACGAAACTTTGATCCCAGCCTGATGGCCAGAGAGTAAAGAAAAGCGTAACTCGAGTAGCACTGACAGCAATATTTATTTCTCTATATACAGAAAAAACTGGCTCAAGGTCAGAAGGGAATGGGTAAGGCTAGTTTTCATCTGTCCTTAACTTATCTAGTCACAATGCTGGACAATCTCCTTATGGATGAAGAAAAGACTAGAAACAACGGAAATTTTGCTCTACAGATGGATGCTGAGAATGCCATGAACTGAACAAGCGATACACGTCGAGGTTTTAGAGAAAAATGGAAGAAAAAATACTTATGCTTAACATCAGAAAGAGACAGTTGAAAGGAATATTACCGTTATCATCAGATATGAAGAGAACAGATATTACACTTTGATCCCAGCCCGATGACCCGGGAATGTAGAAAAGCGTAACTGAATAGCTGCAATATTTCGTTCTGTATATATAAAAAAATACAGATCAAGACCAAAAGATTGGTCTTCATATGCTTTGCATTTAACTTAGCTAGCTACAATCCCTGATCCAAACACACTAATAATTTTCCTTACACCAAAACAACACATTCTTACTTAACATTCTTATTTAACATTCTTACTAAAATCACCATAATACCGAAATTTCTATATGAAATAAAGTAGTACTGTCTGCTTGGTCAAAGTATACTTAATGTTTCCTTTTAAGGAAAGGGCTAATATTACCATTACTATTTTTTTTATTTCTGTTCATTTTAAAACCTACACCGAGGTTTTCCTTTATTGTTTTAATTTAGTATAATCTAGTAATTTAGTATAATTAGTATAATCTAGTAATTTAGTATAATTAGTATAATCTGGTAATTCATCCAACGATTTTGATAATAATAAAATATTAAATATTATAAAATATTCGTTCTCCCTTTATTTCCAGTTCATTTTCCGGAAGATACTTGCTATAAATAATTTAGGTGAGATCATAGCGGTCAGCAGCGTATTTTGGGTTATTATTGTGTACTTCTAAAATTTAATTTTGATCTCTATTTCGGACATTATAGCCGGCATTATACATTAATTATAAAATTTTTGAGTTTGTAAGGTACTTTTCATTGGGTATGTGTCTATTTTAATATATACTTCCTAGACTATGCTTATTGTGACTTTCTTTCATTTCCATAGCCTTTCTTTAATATTATCAGATACTTTGAGTAGATATATTCCTGGACTTCTTCCAGTTCTTCATCTATTTTTATGATCTTTCTTTCGATTTTTTCTTGTTGTTGTTGTTTTTTTTATTTTTTGTTGTTTTTTTGTTTTTTTTTTTGTAAAATATGGCAATTGAACATGAATATTATTTTATTTCTGTTCATTTTTAAACCACCACCGAAATTTTCCTTTATTGATGTGATTTATCATTTCTTTCCAATGATTCTGATATTAGTAAAATATCGTCAGCAAATTAGAGATGATTTAAGCCTTCTCCGTTTATGCTGATTTCTACTTCATATGGCGAAAGATATTTTTAAAATCTTTCTGTAAATAGCTGACGTGAAAACTTATCCACTTGTCTCGATTCTTTTTCCAGTATTTATCTGACCTGTGTCTTCATGTGATGGAATTATTGCAGTATTGTTATTATATATATTCATCGACGGTTTTATACTGTTTTCATTAGTGTCCGACTGTTGTAGTAAGTTAAAAACTGTTGCGTGTTCTATCTCGTCAGACACCTTTTTATAAACAACAAAAGCTAAGCAAAATGGTTTATTGTAATCTGTCTTTTTTTCCTTGAGTTGGCGTATTGTTTTCGATTTTCTATTGTTAAGTCGACACTCCAAAACACTGACAGATCGCGTGGCCGATTTTAACCTAGATCGTTTGTTAGTCTGTTTGTAAGCAATTTTAGACTAGCTTGTACACATTTGATACTAATTACTGATTATGTGGGTTTTCCTTTTCTGATAGCTTCTCTTTCCAAGTTCTTTGTCACGTTTCATTTTATATATATATATATATACTTTTCTTCTCCTCCCTGCTATAGGTAAATAGCAAGACAGACCGGATTCTATGGCCTTGGATGGCAACTGGTCTACCGCAGAAAGAAATGACAACCTACTGCGGGCAAAAATCTGCCTCGTCAATCATGTATCGAATGATACATGATCGCCTAAGCGGGTATCACGCATGGCACATAACTGATTTATATATATATATATATATATATATATATATATATATATATGTAAGTGAACATTGAAGTCAACAC